TCTTTATAAAATGTGATCTTGGGTTACGCAGACCAATGTGGGGAATATCCAATTAATCAATGGGATGAAATTCAATGAGCTTACTTGAAAGTAGGTCCATATCAAATTCATCTCTCTAATTATCCATATAACTTAGAAAAGCATCCTAGATATTTTTAATGTTCTTGGTTTGCTCAATTTTTTTCCTTAGCTTAAGTATTCTTCAACAAAAGATGTATATTGTTTACCATGTTACCTTCTTAACATGAAACCCAAAAGGCAACCTAATTGGGATGTATTCATTGTTATCAAATTTACATGTTGAAAAAAGTTAAGTTTAGAAGGAATTGTGCTTTTTTTAATCATATTGCAGATGAATCTTATTTACAGCATAATAATGCTATAAGATCTTGTGTGAATTTGATGAAACAATCTAGGCACATTGATAAAGTAACGTATGCATAAAGTTCACAACAAATTTTAGATAATAGGCTATGAGTCAAGACTTTTATAGATGTAGTCCAATGGCTTGTATTGCATGCTTATACTTTTAAAGGTTATAATGAAACACTTGATTCAAAAAATCAAGAAAATTTTCTTAAGTTAATTGAACTTTTGGCTTCTTATAATGATAATGTTAAGAAAGTTGTGTTGAAAAAAGCTCATAAATCGGGGAAGTAAATTTCTTATCGATTCAAAAAGAGATTTTGAATGTTTTTATTGTTAAAGTGCAAAACAAGATTTATAAAGATATTGGAGATTCAAAGTTTTGCATTATTGTTTATGAGACTCATGATGAATCCAAAAGAGAACAAATGGCTTATGTTTTAAGATTTGTTGATAAAGGTAGTTTTATTAAGGAGCATTTCTTTGATTTTGCCCATGTTAAAGATACATATACATTAACTCTTAAGAATGAAACATGTGTTATTCTCTTTTATCATAGTTTTGATATTCAAAACATTGGTGGTCAAAGATACAGTAAGGCTAGTAATATGTACAAGTAATAGAAAGAATTGTAAGTATTATTCCTTAATAATTATGCTTTTGCTTATTATGTGCTTTACTTAGCTCATCGATTACAATTGGCTCTTATTGCTGCATCTAAAAAGTACACTATGTTCATGAGTTTTTCATTAATTTGACATTCATTATCAATTTCGGTGATGTCTCGTGCAAACGTCATGAGGAATTACGAGCTACTCAAGCACTTTAAATTACATGCATAGTAATTGTTGAAAAGTTTGAGATTAGAAAAGGTGACAATCAGATAGGCACTTTAAAACAAGCTAGTGATACTTATTGGGGTTTTCACTTTTACTTTAGATGCATCTTATAATAATGTTTAATGCAACATGTTTAGTACTTGAAAATATTAAAAGAGAAGGATCCACTTATTCTTAGTAAGGGGATACCGGTGCTGCATTGAAGTTTATTCAATCATTTGAATTCATTTTTATTTTGCACTTGGTGAAAGAGATCATAGGCATTACTACTGTACTATACCAAGCTTTGCAGTAAAAATCTCAAGATATTTTGAATGCTATGCATTTGGTTTCAAGTACAAAGATGTTGATTCACAAATTGAAATAATGTTGTTGGAATAATTTGCTTGAAAATGTGATATCATTTTGTGATAAGCATGATATGAGTGTTCCTAATCTGAATGCTCAATATTTTGAAGGTTGACATCAACAACAACAAAGTTAAATAACTATAAATCACCATTATCATTTTGACATTCAATGAAGTCATTAATTTTCAATTACAAGAGCTAAATAATAGGTTTAGTGCACAGGCAATGAATCTTTTGGCATTTAGCTATGCTTTGGATCTAAGAAAAAAGTATAAATCTTTCAATATTGATGATATTTGCACTTTTGCAGAAAAAATATTATCCTCTTGATTTTACTGAGCAAGAGAGATTGAATTTGAAATTTCAACTGATATATTTTGAGCATGATATGCACAATGATGTAAAACTGCAAAATTTGTCTTCACCACAATTGTACCTTATTCAAACAAAGACAGGAAAATACAAAGTATAGTATCTCATAAACGGCTTGATCAAACTTACTTTTAACTCTCTTAGTGTCTACAACAACCAATGAATGTGCATTTTTAGCTATGAAGATCATCATACAATACTACGAAATAAGGTGAAAAATGAATATCTTGTGGATAACTTAGTTGTCAACATCGATAAATAGATTGTTGAAATATTTAGTTCAGATTCAATTCTCGAAAATTTTATTTCTTTAAAAGAACATCACTTACAATTTTAGATATGATTATTTATTTAATGTATTTTGTTTCTTTATACTTTTGTTTATAAATTACTAAAATTTATAATTTTATAAGCTTATGACTTTTTTTATTAGTATATTACTTGTATGTATATATATATGTCTTATGTTAGTAAAATAACATAACTCAAATGAAATATATATATATATATATATATATATATATAGTATTAGACTTTTATTAGCCCCTCTAAATCAATTTTGAAGATCCGCCATTGTCCTAATTTAATTGTTACACTTTCTTTAAATTTAAGATAATAGGGTTGATTTTTTTTTTTAAATTAAGCTTGAGTAAGAGTAAGATTTTTGATGCTACATCTCGATCTTGATATATATAATATTTTTTATTATTTATTTAATTCTATATTTATATGTATTTTTATTAAGAAAATATTATTTAATAGTTTAATTTAATAAATTTATGTGTCACCTCATTTGACTTCTTTTTTAGTCTTTTTTTTTAATTTTTTTATTAGATAAATTTTGTAAAAAAAAGTCAATTGATGCAAGAATAATAAAATAACATATATCTAATGGGTTCACCACGATCCAATCGATGCAATTTTTAAAAATAAAAATTGATATAAGTTTTGTCTTTTTAAATAATTTAAGTCAAGCAGGGATCGGGTTTTGAGTGCTTCTTCCCAACCCTTCTCTAGATATATAAAAGAATATCTTTTATTATTTATTAAATTTATATTTATATAAATATATTATATCAATAAAAATATTATTTAATATCTTAATTTAATAAAAATTATATTTATATATAATTAACTTATAATTTATATTAAAAAATAAATACATTTATATTTATTTATATATTATCATCTATTAAAATTTAATATAAAAATTATATTTCTCTCGTATTTAAAATATAATTTTAAAAAATTAAAAATAATCCCGCAACAAAACGGGAATCTAATTCTAATAATGATAAAAGATGATAATATAAGACACTTGACTTCTATGCGTGAGTATTGTTTTTCACATGTTTCTATATTGTGACAAACCATAAAATTACAAAAGATCATTGATTTAAATGACAAATTCTTTAGTAACATTTTTTTAATGGTTGAATTATAATTACTATCAAAAGTGCGACAACATATTTCTGTATAGGATATATTTAACCCTTGTGTGTGTGTGTGTTTTTTTTTTTGTTAAAATTTTTTAATATTTTAATTCTTGAATTTAATATTGTGTGTAATTGGTATGTCTATAGTGATATATACTTATTTATAATTGTTCAAAAAATTTGTATAATGATAATTAAGAATTATAATGTTTGCATACTATATATCTCTCGAGTAAATAAAATGTAGTAGTGCTGTGTGAGTATTGTTTTTTTAACATGTTTATGTATTGGAGCAGACTAAAATATTATAAAAGTGATCTAAGTTAAATGAAATGTCTTTGGCAATAATCATTGTTAAGGGAGGTTAGACTCATTATTTTTTGAATAAAATTTTTTTTCTTCTAACATTTTTATAATTTTCTTTTATCTCTGTCTACCGAATCCATCATGGTCCATTTTCCACTTGAGCTAACCCAATCCATCTACTCTCTTTCTGTTGTACATATTCTCTGCCATTTTCATCGTTTCCACAGGCCTTTTATTTTCTCTCTTTTTTCCTTCATGTCTTCTCTCCATCTACTCTCTTTCCCTTCACATTTTCTCTGTCATTTTCTATTTTTTGCTTACCTTTCTTAATTCAATTTTTGCCCTTTTTCCCACATTTTTTTCAGATCCAGTTATGCCTAAAAAAATAATGATTTAAAAAATATATATATATGTATATAATTAAGCTGCGTGCAAATAGTATGAGACATGACCGTGACACCTCTTTTGACGAGATAAGGTAAAATAATTTTTTGTATTTGCAACTTTATGCGTTTTCTGTCATTTTTTTTTCTTGCTTGATACTTTTGGGCTTTGTAGATTAATGCTTAAACCTATGAAACATAATTTTTATTGAAGAAAAACCATCAAAATTTAGAAGATTTAAGTGAAAATCAGAAAAAGACCCAAACGGGTCAACATTTTCCATTCACGTGGCTTTCTCACTTGATTTACCATTTTATTATAAAATTTGCCTTAAAATAATATTTAGGCTTTGTCTATCCACTTACATATATGATATTTCTGGAATTTAATTGCAGCAAATGATCACACCATGAAATAATATTTAGGAAAATACAACAAAACCCAAAAAAGTCACAAATTTCCGTTCGGGTCACAGCAATCCGTCCCAACCAAGCAGAAAGTGGAATATGCCTAGAATATTCCCTCCAAAAAAACAATTTTGGTTATTTTCAAATTTACCCCAAATTAATTACATGTTGACTTTAAAAGTTTTTACAATTATGATCTGACTATAATCCTTCAAGACTTGTACAATTATAACTTGATGATTTTATCAATTTTGATAACGTAACACACCTATCAATCATATGCAATATCATGCTACATGTGGCAAGGCCATCCCAAGGACCCTTCACATATAGCTATGAAGCTAATCCAATTTTATAAAAACAATTGAAATATAACATGATATTGTTGAAGCATGAAGCTAATCCAATTGAAATATTTAATCCAATTTTCACATAGAGCTATATTAAGCTAATCCAATTTTCACATATAGCTATGAAGCCAATCCAATTGAAATATTTAAATAAAATTATATCATTGTTTCTAAAAAAAATAAAAAGATTCATGATCTTTATTGAAATATTTAAATAAAATTATATCATTATTTCTACAAAAAATAAAAAAAGATTCATGATCTTTCCAGCAGCTAAGCGGGCAAATTCCAGTAAAATATTAAACTAGTAAGCTTTTTCAATTTTTTTTATTAGATTGAGCCTGCACCGTGACGCTGGATTTATTAAAAAAAATACATACAATTATTCATCATATAACCGCAATCTACTATGAATTTAAATTGTAAGCTTTAATGTTTTAAATAATGGTTAAATTTTTAAGGTGCATTAGCTTATTGATATTCATGATATTATCCGAGTCTAGTTAGATAAAAAAATTAACATTTTTGAAACCTATAATGTATATATTTCAAATAAGAAGTTGGAACATAAATGTATATACTTTTTCCGACATTGCGGGCCACTGCTCCAAAAGAAAGTTTGGTTAGATCAGGTTATGAAAAATTTTGAATAAGTCCACTTGTTCAAAATGACAAAACGGCCAAGTACGATGCATACCTTGTTTCTTGTAACAGGTGTAAGGCATCACTCCTGCCACATCAATTATTTAGCCTGCAGATCACAAATTGTAATAAAGGCACAAAAAAGACTTGAATGAATGAAAATCAACCAAGAGGAATTCTAAGCTTGGAAAAACTTGATGGGAGGCAAGTTACAACAGATTTAACTTATACATGTTCACAATCACGTGCAGTACTCAAAATCACAATTCCCTACATGGGTTAGCATCCCAAAGAAATAAATTTTAGAAGGATTAAATAACATTTTTATATTTTTGTCGACTCGAATCTTATCAAAGTATTGTCTCTAACCTATATAAATGTAAGACCTTGAGACCCTAAACCTATACAAATAAAGAATTCCTGTGAAAACACAACATCTTATTAAGTAAAATTTATGGTAGTTTTCTTGCTAATGCCTAATTGCCCTTTCCATCCTGGACTATTACCATTTACTAATGCCTAACTGCCATGATAAGGTATAAAAATCATAAACAGAACAAAGCACCACAGAAACTATTTTGCTATGATGATTGATAAGCATACCGTGCATCTGTCGCAAGCCCTAACTGCTTGAGCATTTTTATCAGCTGTTGAGCGATCCAACTGTGGATACACTTTCCACGGAAAATAGCCCTACAATTCCTGCAATGGTCCTGAAAAGAAAATGAGAAAAGAGCTTTAAACTTAAATGAGAAAGGAAGGCAAGCAAATGACCTTTTTTTTTTTTATAATAAAAGGGAATGACGTACCTTGCTCACAAAAGCCCAAAATTAGTTCCAGATTCAGTTCACTTTGAAACAGTTTCGTTAAGGACTTTAAAAAAATAAAAAAAAATTTCTTTCACCCAGTGATCTTTCTCCTCAATGCCAGGCTTTATGAAGTTCATCCAATCAATAAATATTTTCTTCTTTTCTGCAGGTTGTTCAGTATCTTCAGAGATTCAAAAGGTCGACTTCTCCTACCCATTTCCTTAATCTACAATCAAAAGGTAAAAGAATACAATCATCAAGACATTCCTGTTCAAAGGAAAGATGAAATCGTGGATATAAATAACCCTAACAACTAAATTAAACAACCACATCTTTTATTAGCAACCCAATTTCTATCGCATAAATGGCCTGTGTTTACATACACACATGCCAATTTTTATCGCTGCAGATCTATTATTTTAAAATATCATAATAAGATGATAATATTAGTGTTTTACATGCTTTTCACTTAAACTTAATGACTGAAACAATTGGTAATAATATATCACAAAATAGAAAGCATTGTCAAAATAACAAAAGCATATCATGATAAAAACATCTAACTTCTCATCTGGACTGAAAACTTTTGTTGTCTTAGTTCACTCAATTTAACTATGTTCATAGGAGTTTAATGATACATAGACTAACCAACATTTTTGTTTTCTTGGTTTATAATACTACGTTTATTTACAATAAAATCAAGATTACTATTATGAACAGGACTTGTTTGCTCTTTAGCCACCCATTTCTATTAAACATACTATTCATCGACATCGATATTATATGAAGGTAAAATTCAAAAATCTAAAACAAAAATAACTAATACACTTGTACCAAATTTATAAAAAAAAAATTATTAGATGCATATAATGAAAATAGGATAGCAGGATTTTTCGCACCGTGTGTAACCAACCAAAAACAGACTTGGTGATAGCAGGATTTTTTGCACCTCAACCGAACCCCTTGCCTCCTACAAAATTTAAAACAAAAGAAAAGCTCAACTTAAAATTCGAAATTCTAGTAAGAATAATACTTTAACAAAAATAGTAAAGGAAAACTTATTTACTATCAAATTTTTGAAGAAAAAATTAGTAGAAAGAGAAAGGGGCCACTGTGACTTGTGCTTGATGGCTGACAATAAGAGAAGCCGGCGTTGAACCCACACCGATTAGGAAACTTACACCAATTCTAGCTTCTCCTTATCTCCTTGGTCTTCTAGGAGCCACCGCTGGTCTTCGTCACGATCTCCCTTCTCTTCTGTTTTCCCTCGCAAGCCTTTCATCCTACAAATGAAGCTTCTCCAGAAAATGCTTCTTGAGAAGCATTTGTTTCTATTTTTTAACTTTTAATCAATAGTTTTAAAAAATATATATAATACAACGGACAATTTTAACCTTAACTTTAATTAAGTGAAAAAAATGTACGTCAACCGGATAGCTAAGACACATGTCATCCTTAGATTCAATTGAAAGAAATTACCATCTATGCATTTTTTAGATATGAGTTTTATGTTGCATGTGTAAGTAAATCACATCAGTGTTTAAGAATTACTTGATTAATTGTCAAAAGAATTTTATCAATAATTAGAATTGTTTTATAACTTGTTCAAAATTAAATACTTTATCTTACTTATATTGTATTTTTTTTATTTAAAATCTCTTTAAATTGATAATTGACTCTCTATATCTTTTACACTTAAATTCATATAAATGATATCTCGAAATCTTTTTTTCTTTATTAGAATTTTAAAATGTAATTCTCACTACTCAAAAATTTTCAATTAATTAAAAATTATGATTAGTGATGGGTTTAGAATTTTTTTTTTAAAGTTTCCCTTTATAATATATAAAAAAATTGTTGATAGATTTATCAATTTTTTAGTATTCGGAAAAAAATTTTCTTCAAAAATTTTCCCTATATTTAGGGTGTTTAGAGAAAATTTTTGGGGATGTACAATGAAAAATTTTCCTTTAAATCTTGATATTTTTCAATTTGGAAAGTGTCCACAGACAGCCTATCACTAAAAATGGATCTACCATTGATTATGATTGATTATGGTATATATGCATTATATTGTCTCTTTCTGTTAGTATATGTAAATTTTAGTTATTTATACACAATATATGCAATTCTATATTAGTATATAATTATTATTTGATAATGAATAAAAAAAATTCATGTACAATAACAAAAAACCTAATATACATAAAAGCACTACCTTGAAAAATCTTTTAAACTAATGAAAATAGACGTCGCCTTTGATTATATTTCTAAATTGTCATTTTTAATTAATTTATTAAATTTTAATAATAAGGGTAGTTTTATAGAGAGAAAAGAGTTTTATTTATATTGAATTGCCATTATTATGAAAACATTTTTTGGATAATAATTTTGTAGATAACTCTTAATTGATTAAATTTAATCAAAAGTAAAGTTAGAGTTCATGAATAATTAAATATCATGTTATTATATATATAGACCACTTTGGTATCAATATCATCCAAACACAAAAAGGTTTAGCAAGAAAATTTTTTTTCTTAATTGCATTGAGCTTAAAAATTAATGAGATGCTGCTATTGGTATCAATCTTATTATTATTGATACTAGATTGATGTCCTCACTTCGTCGAGGGGTTTTTTAAAAATATTTATAAATCTTTTTATTTAATTAATTAATTTTAAAATATGATTTTAAATTAAATAAAATTTATTTAATAATTTTTTTATTTATATATATTTAAATATGTATTGATATTGGTATAATCATATTTATCAATTGTGAAAAATTAAATATATAAAAATTAATTATTTATAAATTACATAATAAAAATGCATTTAAAAATTTATTTTATATGCATTTTTAAAAAATATTTCAAAATTTTTTTACACCTTAACATATATTTTTATTTATGGTATAAAAATATATTAATTTTTATGTTATCAAATTGTTTTTAAAAAAAAGTTTTCTAAATAGTTTTTTATCATTTAATTTACTTTATTAAACTATTATATTTAGTTTTTATTCTTACCCTTTTATTAAAAAAGTAATTGATAAATTAATTCATGTAAAAAAATTAAATAACCAAAAAAAGGGCTTGTAATTATTTAATTAACTTTTGGATTTAGTCTAAATTTTTAAATACAAATAATAAATGTAAAAAAGTTAAGGCGTTACTCATAAATAGATCAATCTATTTTTTAAAAACTTTTGTCTTAAATCCCCAACTATTAATTCTGTTCAAATGGATCACTTTTACAAAATTTTTTAGAACTTAATCCAAAAATCATACTAAAAAACCTTTTAAAAAATTTTTTATGACAAAATGATTATTTTATAATATTAAATAGTTGTTAATTATTTATAATTTTGGAGTTGCTTGGTCACTTCCTAGCTTTATTGTCTTTCAAGAGTTTAGGGTTTCTCAAGTTGTGTCTTGCATTGTAGTAGTTGAAGTACTCTTTTAGCATTCATCAATTAGTGGCAGGGAAAAGGGGTATTCGATTACCGGCAAAGATGTCGATGCAATTCATTATGCAAGTTACGAATACAAAATAAATAAATCACCTATTTCACGGATCTTTCATTCATTCCAATTTTGGGGCTAACTCTAATAATTTCTTTCATAATGTTTATATATTCCCTATTCATCGATAACATGGTTCAAAGTTGAAACTCAATGTGGAGAGTTAAAAAGACCTAAAGCTTAGACATCCAATAATTATAAATTTAATAAAATTTGAGATCCAACGAAAATAAGAAAAAGGATAAATCTCATCTAAATAAATAAAAATTGAAGACTTAACAGTAAATTGAAGCAAATTAAAATTTAAAGACAACTTATATATTATTATTGATTTTGCAAAAATAATTATAGATTATAAACTTAAAGCATAAGGAAAGTAATGTTGAGAAATAATTCTTGATCCAATGAAACAAAAGTAAATTTTTTATTCATAAATAAAACACAAGACAGGTGTAGGGTCAAATTATAATAGACATGTGCATGCTTCCCAATTGTATAAAAGAGATTTTAAAATTGAAGGGTTAACCTTTTTATAGTTAAATATAATAATATTTAATAAAATTGATTTGGCAAGATTTGGCATTTGAAATGAATAGTAAAATTGAGTTGACATGAAATTGAATAGAAATTGAAGAGGGTAGGGGTATTCATTGATCGGTTCAATTAATTTCAAATTAAATTATCCAAAAACAAATTAACTAAATTATATTATTTTATTTTCATTAACAGAACCGAAATTATTAATTTCAAAATTTAACTAACTAAGTTTAATTCAATTGGTTTGGTTAATTTTTTTAATTAACCAAATAATAAATACATTTAAATTAAATTATATCTTAAACTCTTAATTTCTTATATTTTAAACAAATTAAATAAAATTATCTAACAAAATATTCAAATACCAAAGTATTATGTTAAAAACTCTAATAACTTATAAAATAAAATGATCCATTTTATGTGTACTTCATTTTGTTATATTTCAATTAAAATTTTAGTTAACCAAGTTTTGAACCGAATTAATTGAAAATTGAAAATTTTTTAACATCATTTTCATTAGTAGATCGAAATTAATTCGGTAATTGATCGATTAATCGAATTAAATAAGTTCTATAAGTTAATTCAGTTAAAATCAAATTATGAATACCCATACAAGAAGGGATCACTTTTTTATATTGTATAGATAGTAGAATATAAAATATAGATGCCACAATACACTTATTTTTTAATTATGTTTCAATTTTACAAATGGCTTTAAATGATTGTTGGGATAGTTTTAATATGTGTAAAAGACCTTTTTAACCCCTTCATCTTTATGTTCCTGCCATAATTAACCTTATATTTATAATTAACTTCCAAAATCACCCCTTAAATTAAAATTAAATCCAACTATAATTTGGCTTAAAATTCCAAACAAATTTTTAAAAGACTACTTTAATATAATGTATAGATATTTAGAGAAACCATTTGAGTTCAAGATATGGTAAATCAATATCTCTAATTAGTTTGCATGTCATTTATTTAACAATATATCTTTATATTGATATGTTTAGTTTTATTTTTTATATTTTAATTTAGTTTGATACAAACTCTCACTTTTTAATTAAAATCTTCTTTAAATATAAGATATCTCAATTTTATACAAATATATTTTTATAAATATTAAATGATGTAAAACATTATAAATAAGAAATTATTAATTAAAAATAATTTATTTATATTTTACAATTATAATTTAAAATATATTATTTATACCTTTTCATATTTTAATTTATTTTGATAAAAAAATTTGATTTTACAAATTAAGATTTTTTTAATATGAGAAATTTTTAATTTCACACAAATTGAGTTTTTTTTATAATATTAAATGACATAAAGCTCTATTAATAAATTAATTATTAGTTAAAGATTTTATATCTTATAATTATAATTTAAAAATCTATTAATAACAAATAATTAAAAGAATATGCATTCATGTGTGAGGCACATGACCTTTTACTAGTTTATAACTAAAATAATCTTTTAAGCCAAGTAAAATCAAGCTAGATTCTATTTAAAATATACATTATCACAATGTTGTATTTTTTACTAGTTTGATAATTTTTGTATTTGTGTCTTATATGGGTGAAGTCATTACAAGTCTAGTAGTAGCTTAAGCTCTTGTTGAGGCCAACAAATTTTAAAATGTTTTACTGATTTAATTTACTCATTGTTGAGACTGATTTTACCGATTGTTATTGTCATAATAAAGGGAGCATTTTTAGCAATGAATATCTTGAAGACTCATTTCAATACTCATAATGGGAGATTAATAGTTATTTGATAGTTTAGATGTGTACATTAAAAATGTGATCAAAAGTATTGATAACAAAATTATTATGCAACGTTTTCAAAATATAAAATGATAATTGTAAAATTTTTAACAGTTATGAATGGATATGGAAGTTATTACTACTGTCATTATTGCAGTTATTGTTGTTTTTTTTTTATATAATTTAAGTATATTTGAGCTAAGTTCCCATTAAATAAAATTTTTGGTTTTGCCATTGGTGTCATGTTTATTTTGTGTTAAACATGTATAAAATATAAAAATTATCATATCACTTTGTATCAAAATATCAAACACATAATACATTTTTTACTTTTTATCAAATCTATATACCTTTTTTTTAACTTTTAAACATGTTGCTTTCATGTATTTTTTATATCATTTTTATATCATATTATTATCTTATGTAAAAAATTATCAGATCTACTTCTTACCTGTTTTTTTAGTAGTTTTATTTCTCGCATC